CTCTGGGATCTAAATTGTTCATTATCATCAGCATAATAGCAGCAGCTTGTCTGGACCTCGCTGGATATTCATCAATAGGATAAGCCCTGAATAAACATAAAACATGATATAAATTCAAAAAAGAAAAGTTAATCACTGACAATAACTGTCAAAATTTGTATACCATTCTGTATTCAGGCACTTGTAATTGTAAAATCTAGACAAAGTCTCCATATAACTTACTTTTATTTTGCATGAAAATTTCCAACGCAAGTGAAAGTTACATGAATGTATCGGAAATTTATTAGAAAAGCATCTGAAAAATATCATGATGATCCCATTCATATACTGTTTAAGACACCTACATATGAAAAGCATAGCCTTATAATTGCACTTTAGACCCTCAGGGGCAATTTGTGACTGAACCAACACCCTGAAATTGTTACACTTTTTCTAAATTTTTTACATACCAGTATACTTTTTAATTTTTTATATTTTTTTCTTTGATGGTTGCCAACCAATTGGGATTATTGACTAATATTGTTGAGTAATCAGTAAAAATTTACATTAAAATTCTAAAGTACTTGGCAAATATTTGCAGTTATGGACAAACTTCCATTGATTATAACATAATATTGTATACTTACCTCATTTGAATGTCAGGTCTAAACCGATACATGTAAATGTGTCCATACTGTCTCAACTCTGCAGCAAACTCTGGGGCAAGAACACAGTGGCATGTATGTGGAAAATATCTCAAGGCATTCTGCAGTGCTAACTGTAAATGAAAAGACAAAATGTCAAACTTACCACTTATGCAATAAAAATCTGTATTCCTTCACAATCCTATACATTCTAAAATCACCTGATTTAATGCTCTTTCATTTTTGTTTTAACTTGTTTTTTTTTTGCATATTTTCTGTTATCATTCAAACCCTTTCCTCTCTGACAAAATAATTTTTAGGTTTGTACAAAATATGGACAATCCTCTTTGATTCCCTCTCAACTCTTTCAATTTTCTGAGCTTGCCTGGGATGAACATATAACAAATATTGCAATCTCTGACACATCTGGTTTGTGCCTAGGATAAAGGGGTAAGTTTCTGAAGAAACTGTGGTGCTGCTTTGGTTGGAGAGTAAAACAAGATAATTTGGTTTTATTAACTGATTTGATGTTTCCAGTGTTAGTCCTTTGTTAGAGCAAGAAGCAAAGGGCTAATGGTAAAAACATCAGCTTTACAAACTCTTTTCAGTAGCAATTTACATTATCAACTCAGTTGATAAAATTAATTTATCTTGTTAAACCTAATCTAGTTTCCATGCCATCAGGCAGTATCACAACTCCTCCTGGATAAGAAGCCAGTCAATTGCAGGTTATAACCCCCTCTCAGCAATTAAACTGTCATTTATAGGTGAGGGGAATATCTGAGAGAGTGAAGTGTCTAGCCCCAAAGCATAAAAGAATGGTCTACCATGGTCAAACACTGTACAAATATCTGTGGAATTCTTGGAGTCCAGCGCCATTACTGTTTGGCCACAGCATCTCCACTATTCACTTAACAATAGGATTTAGGCCTTTGTTTAATATTATGTCACAATGAAATCTATCTTATCAATATCATATTGTTGTCTTGAATTAGCAAATGACAATACATTGTTATAACAATTTTTCATCTGAAATAACTGTTTACATCAAAATTCCATGATTTCAAGAGAGTACAATGTAAGGAGGATAACAACTTCTGGAAAAAAAACTTGACAAAGAATTCTGACTATACAAACTAACATGCTTAAGGGTGTTGTCCTTAGGTGTCGGTCACTTTGGCGATCAATATTTAAAGCTATTTTCACTGCTCAGTTTTTTAAGTAATTTTTTGGCATGCTGGAAGTCTATTAATGATGGTATCTGCATCAAAAAAAGACCCTTTAATTTTCTCTTACTTTTACAAAAAGAGTGAGTGTAACAATTTAATTTCAACATTCACATGTAATTTTAATTTCTTGTTTTTCTACACGTAATGCATGTACTTTGTCAACTTTCCAACACCTGCTCTTATTTAACCTTTTACCTCCCAGATCAAATTTGTAATTCCCCTTACTGTCAATCATACAATTCTTATAATGTTAGATCAGAGAATTTAGCATTGGATCAACTAATTATCTCCAAATTGATATTTTTCTTTATTCTTACCACTTATCTGGTTGATATTGTACTAATATTGTAAGGAGAAATTCTGTCTTGGTTACTCATAGGAGTTAAAGGGTTAAAATGATTACAATAATCTATTTTTACAATGATTTTATATTGACATCAATATTTGTCATGAAATTAACAAAATGATAGCATTGATACTCGATTGTGACAACGTTATTTGCATGGTGAAGGCAACGATTGATTAAATTGGAATTAAATGGAAATCTTATATTTTAACGATGGATAAAATTAGTGGTCTGCGCTTTCTAGACTTTGGGTACACAAGAGAGCGTGTGCAGAAATAATCCATTCCAGAACAGATATGACATTTTCTCCAACATGATTAAAACGCATAATTACATGTACGCGTGACTTTTTAATGCTCATACTCCGTCAAAAAAATAAGCTTCGTCGATCAATAGTTAAAGCTTGAGCGTTACATAACAGAAATCCATGCAAATGCAAGCGGTTAGGAGAGAGAATGTTACCACAAAGATCTCCTCAAGATCTTCTTATCCTAAAAGATTTCAATCACAGAAAAAAAAGGCATACCCTCCGTTCATCTGCAGTAAGATTTACAGTCCTAACAGGCGCATGGGGAACAGAATTGTCACGTTCTCTCGGCGGTGGGAGCGGATCAACTGGAAGACTACAGCACAAGTCCTTCAAAGACTCCATTGCTGCTAGAGATCATAACAAGCACTACAAGTTGCCAGCGAACTGTCTTTTTTAATACATGCGCAACCCTGTTTTTGGAGGTGTGTTTGGAGGCACGTCCGGAGGCGTGTAATATTTTTACAATATGATTGGTTAAAATTTTAGCTTTTGTTATGGTCACTTCATACGGCATCAATTTTCCCGCCGTCTCCGTGTCTCGAGTTGCGTGGAAACGAAATTTTGGCGGAATTTGCGTGTTTTTAAGCCACCACAGTGTTCTAGAAACGCTCACGTAAGCGAAAGTTCATCTTTATCCGCCCAATCGATATTAATACTTTATGATGATTGCGTCAGAAAACGGGAAAAACAAGAATACAACTGTTGTGCCCATGTGATGATATCATTTCTTTTGGCCCAAGGCACTGTTGACCTTTACCTCATCTTTGAAGACAATTCGCACGAAACAAATTTATAGTCGTCATAGCTTACGACTTCCTCTGTTTTGAACAGAGCAGTCAAAAACTAAAACTATGAGAGTGTCAGTTCGTTTTAACGGAAAGTGGTTTGTTGTTCCATGCGGGGAAGGCAAAACTTCAATCCAGTGGCTTATCAAGGAGACACTTCGACGAGCGTGCGACACAAATGACTCAGAAAAATGTGCGAAAGATTTCGAAGCTACTTTGGCTCAAAGTGGAGGAAGTTTGCATCCAAACGATTCCATTTATGAAGTTCTAAACGACAGCGACTTTGTTCATATTTTCGGTAAGTAGTTATTGATTAATTAAGTTAATACCGGCATGATGCAATTTTTGTTTGTCATATGAGACGTGTTTGACCAAATGTTCCATCATGCCCTTGAAAAGTGAAGCACAGAACGTAACCGAAGGGTTTTCACGTGCATTACGCTCGCTTCGAACTCGTGCAGTTTTCCAAACAGGTCGTTTGATCGAGATTCTCAGGTTTTTAGCAAGTTTCAAGATATCGAATTATATTTTCGGTGAAGCATATGCCGGACAAATGATTTACAGCTCATTTCAAATGAAAGAAGCATTCTTTAAGCAGTCGACGTAAGCTGATATATGTTTATAGAAAAAAATCGTAGCTCTGCCTGAATTGTTGTTTTCATTATTGTTCAGAAAATTTTTATACACCGGTCGTAATAATTCACTGTATAGTTTATTGAGAGTTCTTTTCAGAGATGTACTGAAGTTTAAGGGCTGTTAATTTTCAGTAAAGGTGACTGTGGTGTTAGCAACCTTAGTGAAGTCAAGTGAGAAGCTTTTTGTGTAACTTAAGTTTGGTTTGCGACTAAGGTTTCAAGTTATTATCGATTGGGTTAAGCAAGATCAAATAATGATGGTCTAGTAGAGCTTGAGAAGACTGATTGATTTTTCTATGAAACTGACCTAGCATTGAGTAGTTCCAATCTGATGCTAAAGTCATGCACTGTTTTGCTCAGTCAATACATGCCAGTCGTGTAAATGAGAGGTTTCTTTTAAGTGATTATGTATTAAAAACCTTTTGAGCTGATTCTGTAAATACTCAAACAAATTAAAGTAGTTTGACATTTACAGGATGTCTACAGCATGGATTAAAAAAAAAGCTGGTTATTGGAAGTCTACAGTAACCCGTAAAACCTCTCATTGCCTTTTTTTAAGCCTGCAAGCAAGTTCTCATGTTTGGATTCCACCTTACAACACAGCTGTCTTTTACGCTATCCGTAGCCATTCATAAAAAAAAAGGTTCTTGAAATCTCTGCTATAGGGCTATAATGGTGAATGAGGATCCACCAAATAATTTGTGAAATATTACCTGACCATTGTACCTGATACACTACCTAATACACTGATCTATGTATTTCAACATACATCTCCAGACAATACAATATCAAAAGTAACTTGCATTAATTCAAGTTATATTCAATCATGTTTTTTACAGAAATTGGAGCCACAGGAGAGAATGACCATAACTCACCAGATGTTATTTTGTATCCTTGCTTCATTACATTGATGTATATTTTAACCCCTTATTCCCTAATATCAGCATGCAAATTCTCCATACTGTTCTTTATGCATTTCTTAAGATGCCGAAGGGGAGATTTTGTGTAATCAGGAGCTTCTTTAGTTGGTGATCATTTCCTTTATTCATGTGAGCTTAATATGTGATTCAGGGGTGATATTGTAAGGAGAAATTAGATGCTAGTCACTCTTAGGAGTCAACAGGTTAAATGAGTTTTTGTTTGCTTGTTTAGATGTGGCCTCAGTGCACTTTATTTTGTGCATAGAATGTTAGATTAAGTTCTATATGCTACTAATCACATAGTATCTTAGTTTGAAATGGATTCTGTACCAAGAGTTCCAGGTTCTGATTCATGTCAATTTGTGATGCTTCACTCTAACAGGGTCCTCCTTCAATCATAATTTTAACCAGATAAAAAATAACATTCTGCCAGTTAAACAGAAGGAATAACCTGTAATGGATTACATATGGGGCCAATCCATAAGTTTGTCTCTGCCGGGTGGGGAAGGCCTGGATGGGGGAAGCCTTGGGTGGAGAGGAGGGAGCTGGATGAATCAGGGTCCTAGCTTCTTGTTATTTCCACTGGGGTGGAGGAGGGCAAGACCCAGATGGGCAAAGCCTTGAGTGGAGAGAGGAATCCTGGTGATACTAACACCAGCATCTTTTATGGATTTATGAGCATACCAGGATGTTATATTTTCATGAATGATTCCTTTTTTTCTAGATCAGAAATTTTTTTTGAAATAAAGGGGGTGCATTCATTTTTCAATGTAGCCATACAAGACTGTTTTATGGCTGTAAGAGGAGTTGGAACTTAACTTCATCAAATTTTGCAGAAGTGGAAAGGTGGAAAAGGCTTTGGAACATGAACAGGTAAACTGAATACTCACCAAAACTACTTGATTGGAAAAATCGTCTATTAAAAATAAACGATTGATTTAATATTATATTTTAAATAAATCATTTGGTGTACAGTGCTATTAACTCACTTTCCTTATTTGTAACACTTACAGAAATGAAGTCAATTGATGCAAATGTACACTTTGTGGAAAAAAAAACGAAATACAAAAAAACCTAATAATACTATTGAATTTGTGAAGGAGTAAAGAAATGACCAAAAAAGACAGAGAAACGAAATGAATGTGGTTTACAAACGCTAAACGATTACCAGTTTGTTAGTGCCTTTCTAAGTGACTATATTCGCGGATACTTTCCCGACAACCTTTTTATATTAACCTTGCAGTTTGTAGAGCTTGATGGCTGTTCGTTGTCCACTGAAACTCTTGTTGCCTTGGGAAACGGCGAGTTTAAAATAAAGGTATGTTTAAGCTGCATATAGCAGAGTTTCATTAAAACTCTGTTAACGGTGGCCTACCGCCACATACAAGATCACTTACCGCCGTTCGTTTAGCAGGCGAGCAAGTTTCTCTTATTTGGGTTTCGTCTTACGACCTTTTCCGGACACAGCCGCGCCTATTAAACCTCTGGCAGCTGCTCATCAAAAAAGCTATTTACGCCCTTGCCATATGGTAGACTTGTTAACGGAACCTTCAGCGACTGGAAATTCTTGTGAGAAAATTTTGTAAAGCTCTTTATCGGAAAGAAATGGTAATAAACGTTTTAAGTTGCAGTTGCTGTTATTGCTTTTTTGGGGAATTTTTTTTATATTGAGCCGATGAACTTTGTGTGCGATTTTTGGATTCTTTCATCTATAGACATCGGCTGTCGGCATTCCCAAGATTAATGTTTCACAAATGTCGTTGTCTGCGGTCATGGTTATTATTGAGAACTGCTATATATACTTTCGTCGTGAGAAAGTCATTTTTTTTACCATTTAGATTAGCGAAACTATTACTAAAAGGTAATTTTAAGTATTTAATCGTTTGCTAATAGAGCTGTTTCAATACTGACCTAAATCAAAAGAAAATAATGTCCCACTATTTTGTGCAGCCAAAATAAAGATCTATGTTGCATGTTTATGTGTTTGTTTTGACTTCCTCGTCGTTCTCCTTTTTGCTTTCTTGTTTACTCTTATTTATTTCTTTGTTTGGTTGGTTGGTTTCCTTTCAGCTTTCGAAAGAAGCTGAAAACGCGGTGAACAAATCAAGGAAATTATTGGACGGCATTGTTCGAGAAAACAAAGGTAATTTTCTCAGCAACGCGTATTATAACCAGTTGTTTTAATCGTGGTTCAAAGAGATTACCTCACACAATAACGAGGGGTAAATTTGGAAACGTACCAGCTAGACACTTACAGGTATTTACATGAATTTATGATAGGCAACAAAGAAAATCATCTGGAGGTGCGTCCACTCTTTAAAAATGCCCAAAACATGGCATTATCGCACGGCTCAGTTGGCACAGATTCATTGCATCATTGACAAACAATCTGTTCCTGCAAGTGTTCCTTCGTTCGCGCGGAATTCACAAGTCGTAACCACTGTATTTAGAAAGTTTGTTTCGCCTTACGGGAAGATAAATCATACATAGATTTTTTTCCCCTGTTGGCCAGCAAGGGACTGTCACATCTAAATCTCTCATTCACTCTGTAGTCGGTTGTCCTATTTCTCGTCAGTTACATGTATTTTCTTTTCTCGAGACCCTCGCCGTATCCAAATCTTTACAGAGTAAATTATAGAGTTTTAATGGAGTGGAGAACTTAAAAGTCAACCATTTTTAAACTCGTCTGACAGATCGTGTGGTCAGTTTTAATTTCTTAACTCTAATGATTTTTTTATTGTATCCCCTATTTAGTGGCGTATGGCGTGACAACGGGCTTCGGAATGTTTGCAAGGGTAGTAGTCCCTACAGAAAAACTTGAGTGAGTATCATTTGCCTGAAATACCCACTTCAGATTGAAAGAGATTACACAATATCGTATTATTCGTTCACTACCATGGCGTGGTAGGGAACAAATAATATCTTCCCAGCTGTGAGAGTTCTGAATTAACAGGCAAGTTTTGTTTCTCTCAATTTCCCTTTGCCCACCTGTTGAAAAATCCTTTTATTCACGATATATTTATTGATTGATTACTATCCTGTTACGTTTTTTTTTTTTTTAAGGGAACTGCAAGAGAATCTCATAAGATCGCACGCTGCAGGTAATAGAGTACTTTAGAATTATTGCACACGTGAATATAAAGATACACGAGCTCTGATTGGTCGAGAACTACCCACCCTGCGTGGGTGAGTATTTCAAGATCATGGACTTACCAGGTTCGCTGTTATTTTAGTTTCTTGAACAAGACGCTTCCCTTTGACGGTTCCCTTTCTTTACCCAGTTCACACCACAGAACCAGTTGTTTATGATGTATGTTTTCCTCAACCTTAGGTGTGGGCAGACCCTTGTCAACGAAGCACACAAGGATGCTGTTTGCTCTGAGGATTAACGTTTTAGCGAAAGGCCACAGGTTGGTGGAACGTGCTTTGCGCGCTTGAACTTGTTTTGCTGATACGTTTAACTCTGCAA